GAAAGAAGCATCCTCAATAAAAACGTTGAGACTCCGGAAAAGAGAAGTCTCTCTCTCCATAGAGACAAGCACATAGAATCGACACATGAAGGCGGTGAGGGTTTTGAGGAAGAGGAGTCAGCTCCTGACGACGAGCCTGATGTCCTGGACTATGACCACATTAAGGAAGAGCGTGAGACAATACCGCCATATTCTCACTTGCAGGGGCCATTCTTACCATCCAGTAGCCCTGTGGATGCCCTAAAGCGCTTTTTGGTCTGGAATCTTGTTGGAAATATTGTTTCCCAAAATTTGGGAGACCACAATGTGATCGAGATCGAGTTCGCGGACGCGAGCCGTCGGCCCATCCGCTTTACGGACCACTACCGCTTCAATATGGGCTCCATGGCCGAGGAGGGGGCAATTTTTGCCAGTGCAACACTGGATGAAATTAACCCGGACAAAGGAGATAAGCAAGTGGAGAACAAGGATGAGGAGCGCAGCACAGTTTTCTTCCGACCCTTCGCCAACTACTCCGCCAAAAATCAATGGCTCTACACGCTACCCAAGAAAGAAGGAGCACTTTGCGTGGCTGTTGGTGCGCGCTGGACAGCTGTGGCCACCACACGACAGTGGGTGCGGCTCTTCACATTTAGCGGGCTACAAGAGGGCGTCCTGGCCATGCCGGGCCCTGTTGTCACCATGGTGGGACAAGGGGAACTTCTTGCCGTGTTTTATCACGGAGGAATTCCTCTCATTAACCATAGCACAGGATCGGCTTCGCAGTCTCTTCACTATCAGCTCCTAGATATACGGCGTACTGTTGTAGTCTCGCAAGGCCCTGTCTGCCTCTCCCCAGACTCCTTGTTAATTTGGGCGGGATTCGACAATTCGGACATGCTTCATATAATGGACTCCGAGGGTTTACTGTCAAGCCTCGTGCGCGGCTTTTCTTGGCATTGGACGCCTATTCTGGAATCAAGTCGTCTGCGCAGGAACAAAATGGACTCGTTTTGGCCCGTAGGTGTCTTTAATGGCAGTCTCATGTGTTCGCTTCTGAGAGGCGGCGAGGAGCATCCCCCAACCAATCCCAAACCTTTGGTATCATCCCTGCCCTTTAAGCCCCCCTTTGTAATGAGCAACAACGATCATGCTCTTCTCAAACTTGAGGAAGTACGCTTTCTGAGCAAAACATTCTTGTGTCAGAAGCAGTATCAGCAGGAAGTCCTGGCCTTCGAAAGCTTGGAGGATCACGACCTGGAGGCCGATATATTGCGCAATCAGGCGTCTTATGACGCCCATCTCGTAAAAATGATCCAGCAGGCGGGTGCGGCTGAAAATGGAGAGCGCATGCTAGAACTAGCCGAGACACTTACCCTTCCCAAGTCCTTGACTCTCGCCGTACGCATTGCTGACCATTACTCGTTGCCCCAGGTGGCCGCTCGTATCAGCGACTTGGTAGCTACCCGCTTTCCTCCGATCGCCGATATCCACCTCTCAAATGAGGAGACTGAGAACCAAGATCCGCGCGGCTTCAAAGATAGCCCCATGTCGTCGCGAACTTCGATGCTGACTAATGAGCACGACTTAAATAATGACGACATCAATCTTCCGGAAAGGGCCGAGAGAACCGACATGTCAGCGGATCATCGAGATCCTTTGTTCTCACCAGCAAGACCACGAGCTTCACAGGTCTCGCGCATCGGAAATTCCTCTACATCTTTTGTGGGGCGTTGTGATGCGGAATCCGGGATCTCGCGGAATCCATTTGCTATGAAAGACGCGGAAGGCAAAAAGCCAGCAGAGAAGCGTTCATGCAGCATTGCTGAATCCTTGGCCCCCTTGATGTCTCCCTCACCGAAGAAGCCTGTTTTATCAAAGTCATCGACTTTTGTCTCAGAAATCCGCAGCAAAAAAAAACATGACCGACGCGCTTAGGAGTTGAAATAAATAAGATGGAAAGCATAGCAGAACATGGCGACGTAGGATGAGATTTGAAAATTTACGTAGGGCGATGGGATAACCAATGCGTGTAAACAGGAAAAAGTCCTCCAACCCCAACATTTGCGATCGCCCGAGAATGATGGACAAAGATGTATGATTGTTTTTATTCGACCTTTAGACAGGTACGCTCGAGACCTCAGCCCTGTATGCTGTAGAAGGAAGGCGGGAAATGAAGTCTACTGCAGTACTGGGAAGTAAGCCCAGCGAACTGCACTTGTAAAGACCCATACCCAGGAAGACGCAATTGAGAGCGACATAAATGAGCTTAGGAAGAATCAAACTGATATGGCCATCAGCCACACTCTCAAATCCTGTGTATGTTGTGATGAACATCCGAACCATCGTAATATGTGAAGTTTACTACCATCGGCGTGTTTTGAAAACAACACCTGCACCCTAATCCTGCTGCACCAGATGCAAAGATTTAGCCGATCATGCACCGAATGAAAAGTGCCATACCCATGATCTCAGGAAAATTATGATCTTTTGCTGAAACGCACCAATCATTCATGCACGCTACCTCCATCTTTTTCAAGACTTACGTTGGTTAACAGCTGCCAATGCCTGAGCTGAATTTAAAAGACTCATTCCTACAACCATGATGGAGATAATACTGACGCTTGACCCTGTCATGTACATCATGAACCCCTGCATTGCCAAAGCCTTCGCCGGTGTCTGCGCAATGTCCATGGCTACCTGAGTAGATTGATCGATTTAAGTGATATGAGTAGAGACTTCGAAGCTCAGTGGTCATGTCCCCCCTCAAAAAGAGTGGGCCCTTTCGTCGATAAATTCTATTCAGAAATATTGAAGCACCACTTGATGGATGTAGGGATCGGCATGTTCGCCACGTACACTTTCGACTGGAGAGAAAGTGCGGGTAGCTGAGAAAGCATTTCATTTCAGGTAATCTGAAAAAGACTACTTACCTTCTGCTTCAGCTGTCGTTCCTTTGTCATCTCCTCGTTTGTTACCTTTCCTGTGCGTGCCTCGTGCACTTGTCTTGATGCTAATCCCTCATGAACCTCATGATAAGACGCTAGAGGTTTCTCGACAGCTTGTGTTAAGCTACTGCTGGAGGCCCCGACGCTGCAAAAATTCCAATCGGTATACATAATATTTACCAAGTCGAGAACTGGTTAAGCTTGCACCTTGAAAGATCACACAAATTTATTCGTTGATGAGTCTTCCATCTTCAGACTACACGAAGTAAGCTCGCGCTTGTCAGCTTTGCGAGCGGCATGTAAAATGTCAGTGGCCATGAGTATCAACATCTTACAGCGCAGAAAAATATATGTCCCTAATGAGATCCGAAGAGTGACCGTTGTGGCCAACTCGTTCTGGGTCCCTCCCTGTCCGTCTGTCGAAATGCGTGTCTCGTCCTCGCCTCCGTCTCGCTCATCCGAGTCTCTCGCCAAACTCTCCCAGCGACCGGCCATGTCCCCTAGACACCCCTCTCACGCATGTCATTACCGGGTAGATAACATTACAGCAGATTCTCGACTCCATATTGTTGTTGTCGATCTCTAGGTTCACGCAGCGGAGATACAGCAGGGTCGAGCAAATCCCGTGACATTATTTTAAAGAGGGCCCACGGGTGAGGTGACTGCTCTCAACCTCGCGTGGGGACCAAAAACTGAACTAAATCTAGTTGTATTTACGTGCTAGGGAATGAACACGCCTCCGATACCTTTTTTAAGACCCACTACGGCGTTGAACGTATCTTCTAGGCCAGTGTCGGGCGCGCATACTGGGAATGTTCGCTCTGCGTCGCCGTCCTCGACACGCAACGCCTCTATCGGAAGCAGATCGAGCAGAAATCAGGCACTTCAGGCCTCTGCGTTTCGTGACGTGTCTCCTTCCCGATCTATCCGCTCCAACCTTTTTGTGGGCTCTAACGTCCGAGTGCTGCACAAGGGCCATCCGCAATTCGGGGTCGTGAAGTTTAAGGGCAACGTCAACTTTGCGGAGGGTGTCTGGGTTGGTATTGCGCTGAAGGAGCCGGTGGGCAATCACGACGGTTATTTGAAGCAAACTCGGTATTTTCAATGTGCACCCAAGCATGGATTATTCGTCCGCGCTGAAAGCTGCGACGTCTTAATGAATCACAAGATCAACGAGTTTATGAGTGCACCTGCTCAATTTAAGTTGCGATCCTCTGCTTCCGATGATACCTTGCAACGGCTCCCAGAGGAAGCCGTTCGCAATCAAAAGCATAAGAAGGATGATTTCAGCGTCAGTTCATCTCGTTACCGTGCGGAAACTCTTTCTACAACGATTAACTTGAGTGCTGCTGCGGCGACTGCTTTCAAAGGGGACTTAGCAAGTAGACCAAGCTCCCCACACAGTGCCTCGAAAAGTAGGAGTACAACAAATTCTCCAGGCCTGCCACCCCCATCATCTTCAAGAATTAGCCACGATCTCTGCCGAGCACGCCAAATCGGCCCTTCGACCACCCAAAGCACAAACGAGCCTACCAGCTTTGAAAATCCTGTCACGACTGATTCACCTGATTTTTATGTATCCAGTGAGAGCTCTTTTTTTGAGGGTCTCATGCAGGTATGAATTTGTGGAAACGGAGAATAAGTTGAGGGAGTAGACTCATGAAAGCGCAAATATAGCGGTGTTCCAGTCGGTCCCAGCGTATCTTCTATATCCATTTTCCCCCCGAAATATACTACGGTGTGAAAATTTTTCGGAAGTATCCTTCCCAAGATTTACCACTCGGCGAGGAATTCATACTTAGTACACTTTCTTTTCACGTTGCATCCAATGGAAACAGACCTTACTGCATTCAGAGGCCTTCAAGGAGAGAGTTATTTCAAAAGTGAAGGAAGAAATCGCTATTGACATAAAGAAAAGGATGGACGAAATCTCAGGCGAGACAGCTGGTTTACAATCATCGTTGTTGCGCGAAGTGAAGGGCATGGCGAATGTTGTCGGTGAAAGTTTTCGACAGATTGAACGCAAGGTATTGCTCCTACTTGTCTTCTGGAAGCGCAACAGATGAGCTAACACATTTTTTCATTTATTTACAATTGTAGATTGCGAAGATAGGCGAAGTGATCGACGCATCGGCAATTGAAGATGGTCGGGAGAAAGAGGCGAGAGAACAGAGAATTGCACTCAATTCTATTTTGGAACTAGCCTTAATGACGAAAGGACAATTGCTCGCGGAAGTGTATCACCACGAACAAGCAATTAAACAATTACGTTTAACGACAAGCTGTATTTGACTTTTGCGATGAGGCGACAATGCATCAAGATTTAATGATAGGGACGGCCGCGAATAGTTGCAAAACAAAACGGTTCAAAACCTTGAGATGACTGCATGCCGATCAATGAGTGGATTTATTGTACGTAGAAAGCACTTTATTTGTCCACCGTTTACTTCTTCGGCACTTCAATCGAGCTAGTGGTTTTATGGCTTTTTTCGTAGTGAGGCGTGCAAATTGCAGCAAGGGCAGAAGAGTAGAAATGGACACTATGGAGGGGGCTCAAAAGCGATGTGGTCAGAGACGTTTTCAATTGAAGGGGTGCCACGAAAAGTCTCTCTTTTGATATTAATCCACCGTTGCTCCTATTGATTGCTGCGGCCTCTAAAGCACTTTCCAGATCTACCCGATCAATGGCGCTCTTCAACCTGTTTTGCAATTTTTCCTTCGGGCATACGTGTGATATACACATATGATTAAGCTAAATATGTATTTGCACCCATTTCCATCCAAGTAAAAGCACTAATGGCACAACTTTTTAACGAAATCAGAGCGTCATATTCGGGAACCGTACGTACATCGACAAGATCCATGTTTCTAGCCTCCTCCACAAGATTCAAGCGTGATGACATAAATAAATGGGGGTTAGTGTCCCATTTACGTTCAATGAAGTCAAATAGCTTCGCCTGTTTGTGTCTTGCGCTTTGTGGCTGCGAAAAGCCGTCTGTGTTACTGCTTGTCCAATTCTCGCAATTAACAATTCTTTTTCGCTTGTTTATGCTGTTCAAAACCGCCGCGATTGCCCTTGACACATCGGGCATATAGCGCAAAAGGCTTCTTTTCCGCTCCTTCACGTCCCTAAGGATTATCCAGGATAGGGCGAAAGGGAAGTAAAACTTTATGCTTTCCCTAAATTTCTTTGACTCGGTAAATCCCGAAGAATCTATGTCTTCGAGAAAGTCCATTACTATTTTAAGATCAAAATTTTTTGACATACCTGGCGGCATTTCGAGTAAGAAGATGCTGCTTGAGCTGTTTGCAGCATCGTTGAAGAGCGCTTTTGACGCTTTTGCGAATCGCCTCGGTATCGTCACCGATATATTCCTTACCCGTACCTTTAAAAGGAATTTTGGTGCTAACAATAGAGACGAAAACTCCAATGCGATCTCTTTTTGGATCGATCTTGTAAGACTGCCAGTTGATGCGTCGATTCGCCACCTGCGTCACAACGTCGTTGCCAGCCTATCAGCAAGAAGATCACAAGAGTCTTTGATTCAGTTCTTCACTCCTGAAATCGCTCAAATTATTTTGAAGAGAGAAGTTCTTCATGCCTTACCTCGAAGAGCAACGGGATGCGATTAGCGAAACGATATACGTTGATGCCATCCTTCAACGCATTTCCACCGAGTGAGACACCTGCCTCGACTACGAAAGGATGTCCTTCGAAAGCCGCTGCCTGTTCACTCACTGTCGCCACATACTGACATATACATAGAAAAGCGGGATCGGTTTGACGCAGGAGTTAATACAAAGTGCGCATCAGGCTTGACAGCATTTTGCTGCCCTGTGACGGTTCCGGCCTTAGTGGTACCTCTGAAGCATTGAGCTCTTTCTCTACTTACATCCGGATGAAGCTCTTTCATTATCCCGAGCCGCAAATTGTATTCGCCGGCAGGACTAAGGCAGCTTCCGTCAGGAAGCTTGAAGATAGAGATCGATTTGAGCATGGAAGTGAGACGAATTGTTTTGTTGGCATCAATATCCTCTGGTACCATATTTTCAGCGAATCCATTTCCGAGCTCTTTTACAATGCGAGCAGCCAAAGGCCGGGTCACACAGGCAAGTTCGGTGCATAAGAAATTTAAAAACGTTTTCGTGCTTGTGCGCTTTATCAGCTGTTGTATGATGAGATGATTGATGGAACTCGGATGGTGCTTAACCTCTTGAGCAGGTGGGGGCATATGCTCAGAGCGGCGAGCGTACTGCGTGATAACCTCTCGGGACGCATTTGATAAAGTGCGAAAGGTGAATTCCATGTGCGCATAGGGCGTGATGATGGCGAGCTGCTGAAAATACGTCATAATATGCGTTTTATATGTGCTCCAGTTGCCTTCAACAACCACGTCGATACGCGTTCCTCGCCATCCCTTAATATTGGCCACTTTTTCATGCAATTTCACAAAGGGCTGGTTTCGATAGATATCAATGTCCAGAACACAGTGGGATATGTACGCGGCGGGATGATTTTCTTCAAGTGAATGCGCGCTCCGTACCTCTATTGGCAAACCAGTACTTTTTTTGGACCATATCAATGCCATCTTGGAACCAAGTCCGAATTTCCCTCTAGTTTGACGCACGCCATATTTGCTACTAGAAAGCACACGTCCCAACATATCCGGAATTTTCTCGTGAGCCATTCCACATCCATTATCCTCGCATGTGACTCGATAATAGTTGCGAGCGCCGCGGTCACCTTTTTTTTTATTCGACAAGGCCGCTGAATTCTGTCCCATTTGCTTTTCAAGAGCATCAGAGTGGAGTTCTTTCATGTTTTCTGCGAGCACTTCTTGAATCTCACCGCCGCTTCTCCTTTTTCCTGTTGCCTTATGAAAGAGTCCCAAATCCACACGTTCACGGCTCTCCATACCCCGCAGTTCATTGAGCTCGTCTTCCGTAATCTCCTCGATGACGACTGATACATGAGGAAGTACTTGAATTGATTCAGCTGCGTCCAGCGCGTTCTCCACTAACTCTCGAACAGTAGTATACAGTGATCGTCCAGGCTGTGTGATTTAGTTTGAGGGAGGAAAAGGTAATACAGCGTTCAATCGCGGACAGGTAGTCCATGTCATCTTGTACAGAAATAAACTAAAGCTATACAAACAATGAAACCACATCCTTCTTGCACTTCTCGTTCACGACGAACGTCTGGCTGAAATGCGCTCACAGTATTTTTCAGTGTGCTTCTTCTAAAAATCTTAAGAATTGTCGCATGGCCAAACTTATTCCGGTGGACGTGTCAAATTATAAAAACAGATACATTCATGAGAGCGAAATTGTCCACGCCAATCAAGCGGCATATGCCCGTAGCCTTGAAACAACTTACATTGTCAAAACCACAGATGGATTGATGCTCACTGAAAAACTCAGCAGGCGTTTTGCTTTCAACAACCTCGATTCTGTTTTTCCGTGCCATAACCTCGTCTACCCTTATGTTCGGGAAAGGCCTTGAAGATCGAACACCAAACGAATAATAGACCTTGTTCTACCTGTTGACGTATGTATGGGTCAAGCTTGTTGGTAATCGGGAGGTTTTTTTTCTACGTCGCTGTGTCCAATGCTATGCTTTTATGACTTACTTTCATTGGATATGGTGCAATCTTGATTGTGCATCGAAACAATCCTAAGACGATCACTCATACCAGGCGGATTGAACAAGCTTGTCATTTCCTCTTCTTCATCCCCGCGCCAAGGCTTGTGAGCGAGTAGGCGGCGGCGGCGAGATTGGGACAATACGCGTCGTCGAGATTCACGCCCCATGTTCTTGGCCTCCTCAACACTTGCCAGGCATCATTCGCCGGACAGGGCAAGACTACAAGTAGCCATCAAGGTTGTTTCTTATTATTCTTCATCTTCGTTTTTTTAAATGATGACGAAGTATGCTCTACCATGGGCGCGGCTCTGTTTCCTTCCCCCCAAAGAAGCTTTTTGAGACCGGCCACGCACGCTCTAGCTAATCAAGGCTCTAAGGGGAAAAAGTCGCACGCTTTCGGGAAAAACTCACAATTATTCTATCCACTTCTCAAATTTGTCGTAGGCATAATCGCTGAGTATGTTTCGCGGTCAAGGCGGCGTCGTGGGCCTCTTGCGATTTAGTTGTGCAGCTCCAATGCGCTCTCCTGTCTGTGGTCTCACATGGATCAGACCCACAGCAACTTTGTCCAGTCATGAACAAAGTCGCCTTTGCTTTGTATCGGCTAGTCCTCAGCGGTATTTGGCGTTCAAAACACACATTCATGCAGATTTTGGTGGCCCGCACGCGAGGATACGGCGGGCCGATCGTCTAGATGCTCTGGACGATTTTTACGTCACAAGGAGAGCCCCTAATCTTTCACTAGGCCTTTTTCACATCAGTCATCGCCTTGCAGGCTCCAATACGCGGTTGGGCAGTGGCACTAGCTGTGGCGAAAGGAGCAGCAGCACCACCTGCAATGGTCGTGATATTGAGAGCAAGGGCAATTTAAGGAGCCAAGGCGAAGGGGGTGCCGCACCTGCTGGAATGGGAACGGAAAGTTCCAGGCCTCAAGAAGATGTCAATAAAATGGGAAAGCTGCGTTTGATGGTTAAGCGATATGGAGCAGTCGCCGTGATAACATATCTTGGCGTGTATGTCGTGACACTTAGTGCACTCTTTGCAGCGGTAGAGTCAGGTCTTACCCCTTTCGACTACGGTTTGGACTCGAACTGGCTGGTGGAGAAAGCCACGCACCTCCTAGAGAATTATTCTTGGAGTGAGCCGCTTGTTGAAACCATACAAACTAACCCGCATGCGGGTAACTTTGCCGTAGCTTGGGTCCTTACGAAATTTACTGAACCTCTACGCATGATTCTGACGATTGCTGTGGTGCCTCGGATAGCACGGGTTTTGGGAAGAGCTCCTTCATAGGTACACTAGGATCTTGTTCCATCTGAAGGAAGCTAGAAGTGGATTTCGAAGAAGGTCGCGGCCTTCAGCTCCGAATATTTCGACGGGGAGATCCTGTATTTTTGGTAACGGAAGCTTCGGAGGGCCAATTTCTCCCGAAGTATTTTAGAAACGATTTGACTAAAGGAAGAGAACCTCTTACGTGTGTTATTAGGTACGCTACATGGGCAAGTGTCACGATTTTTCTTTTTTGCTCACACATCACCTTTCTGCGCTTCAGATCTTTCTAGCCCCTTCATATCTTTGACTGGAAAAGATAAACCCAGTTTTCCTAGCCGTTCAGTAACAGCGGCCACAGAGCGTCGTTGCATCTTTTGCTCATGTTTAGCAATTTTCTGAAGCTTTCTGATGTAGTCAGCGCGCTTTTTTCACACACAGAAGCACGGAAAGGCGCGATATAGGAAAAGCAGATGAGATGAATATTTATCCCTTGTCGGCTCTCCTACATATCTCCCTCTGCCCGTCTCTCATCAAATCTTACCCGAACGACACGTAAGCGCTCACGCTGTCTTTTTTTGCGTCGAGATCCCCGTGTACCCGGTGCGAAGGGAACAGCATCCGCTGCCTCTTTGAGCAGCTCCTCAGCATTTTCTGCGATAAGCGGTCGCAGTTCCTGAGTACGGGAATTTCTGATTTAGTTGACGTCACAAGATCCTTTCTGTATGACACCCTCTGTCCCATACAGCACATACATTGGCGTCAAGGGAAGCTTCAAATTCTTGTAAAACGACGGATAGCGGCTTGTTCGAGGCTATCTTGCCTCCATCTGCACATAGATGAAGTAAAGCAGTTCATTGAGAATTCAAATAATTCGCATTGAAGCAGCAAAGACCGTTATCAGACATATACCTTTTTTTTGTGTTGAAAATGTCATTGATCGGCGGCTTTCTTTTATTTGAATCGTCTGATTGGCAGCAAAGACGATAAGACCTGCTGTGGCAGCTTGTACTGAAGATAAGGTCGGCTCGTTGATCGCCCCAGCAGTCCCCTTCAAAAGAAGACCACTCTTATAAACAAAGCGCTTAAACATGCCTGTTCCGTAAGAGATGATTGCGTGCGAGCATAGGTGTTATGATGGTGTTAAAACTTCAGGCTCAAGATGGTATACCGGGCGATGCTCGGGCTTACAACTTGTTAGTTAGAGATTGACAATTGGAGACTGTTGTAGACATGGCACGCGGTTCAAATAAGATCTGTCCATGCGAATTGAAGAGTCCACAGATTCGATTCTGATCGTCCGTAAAATTGGGAGCATGCTTAGGGAGGAAGTGGACGCTCTCGCAGGGGGGTCACTCGCCAGACGTGGGAGGTGTACTTCCCCCCCGTGGACTAGGCGGAGTTGACCCTCTTTCGCGTCAACTCAAGATGCAAACAGCACACCAGGCGGCTGTCATTGCAATGTTTTGGGGGCCTGACGTCTACTTTAAGAAACTACATGTTGAGTAATCCTGTCAATCAATCAGTCTTGTGCGGTCCATCTTTCTCACGGTCTCACACACCTAGAGCTCATGAAAATCATACAGGGCATTTGAAAAACGCGAGACAAGATCATGTCTAGATTACCTGCATCCCCGTTTGTTACCAGCATACTGGCGGGAAGGTGGGTGTGGCCGGGATATTTCCGGACGCATAGTTGGACATTTTACCCCTGAAATTCACATCAGGCAATTGACGCTACAACAGCTAAAGATCCCGCCTGTCCGCTCTATGCATTCCAGAGTTGCGTTGGTGACAGGTGGCGGTTCTGGCATTGGGTTTGAGGTAGCGCGCCAGCTAGGTCTACACGGGGCGAAGGTAAGACGTGCGAGGTATCATCGTCAGAAGTTTCAAACCAGAAGACTATCGGCTGCGGCCTGCGACGGTCGCAGAGATTCACCACATGAGCATGACACTTACTTTATACGCTATACGTAGATTATCATTATGGGTCGACGAAAATCCTTTCTGGAGAAGGCTGTAGGTTTGTTGGCACAGGAAGCCGTACAAGCGACATGTACGTATCGTAGGTCCGAAGAGAATTTCCTAAAGAGTCGGTGGTGTTTTACCATTCCCAGGTTCCTCAAAACAGGGGTACAAGGTGATGTACGACAATCAGAAGATGCGGACAAAGCTGTGGAAAAAGCAGTCCACGATTTTGGGTGAGTGGCAAATTAAAAGGTCCTTTGGATGAGACTTCTCAGAAGATGCCTGGCTGCCTTCCCCAACCTCATGCTCGAATGTCGCTTTATTTATTGCACAGCTCTCTGTCTATTCTCGTGAATGCAGCTGCCGGAAATTTTTTGGTAGCAGGCGAAGATTTAAGCACAAAAGGATTTAGGGTGAGCGGTCATTTTCTTTCCTGCACATGTATATGTATATAGATATATAGGTGTCCTTATCAAACCGATGGCAGCTTCAGAAATTTTACCGATCTTGGCACGCCTAGGATGACGTTTCACTTATTTAGAGGAGCGATGTAGAGGCTTTTGTGCAACAGAGGCTGAACTCAAGCTTTCTTTCCACCCCACATGGATGGTTTCGCGTAGACCGTCATGGAAATCGATACCGTAGGGTCTTTCAACATGAGTCGCGCCGCTTTTAAAGCGCTAAAAGTAGCACCAGAGGGTGGGTTGATCATTAACATTAGTGCCACATTGCACTACGGCGCGACATGGTACCAAACGCACGCTTCAGCAGCCAAAGCTGCAGTGGACAGCCTGACACGGTCACTGGGGCTGGAGTGGGGCAGCTTTGGGATTCGTGTCGTAGGTATTGCGCCGGGACCCATTGCCGACACACCCGGCATGGCTAAGTTGGCGCCTACTGACGATTCTTCGGCCGTGGACGAGCTGGTGGCTGAGATGATCCCGCTGGGCCGCATGGGAACGAAGACTGACATCGCGCTAGCTGCTGTCTTTTTGTGCTCGTCCGCCGGCGGCTTTATAACGGGCGAGACTCTGGTGGTAGACGGTGGACATTGGCTGTTCAAGCCCCAGATGTTGCCACGGGAATTGGTCTCTGACATGTCCCGACGGGTCGAAAGCAAAAGTCGGGCAATGACCCCATCTAGTGGGCTGAGCGCCAACGCCGAGACCATAAGCCGACCGTCGAGTCGACTGTGAATTTGAGCGAGTCATACAGATTTACTAGCAAGTCGAAGGATTAAATGAGATGAGAGAAGGTATTGGAAGACATGATGAAAGGACTTTCGGGAGGCACCATGAGCTGGGCTAAAATTACTGGACGGTGGATCACGCACAGAACACCTACAACTGTATTCCCACACAATTCGTGCCCTTATAACTCGGCCTTGAATTCTTTTTGTTCTGGCTGACCCGTATCACCCAAGCATGCACCCCTATATGATGTGAAATTTTCCGCCTGGTCATCCCAGGCAGCTCCTCCATGGCGTTCCAATTTGTGGTGGTCTTGCCATCCATGGACACACGCGAAAGTGGTGGCGCTTTATCACGCAAGACAAATTCAAACGCGCTCTTCTCTGTCATATACTCAAATCAATACTTCGTGCACACTCCCCAGGCCTCAGGCACTACGGTCTTGACGTTGGTAACTTTATCCACAAGCACATCCAACACTACATCTTTGTTGTGTTTGAAGTCCGCGCTTGTGGAGTTCAGTGGACATGTGTGATGCATATATATGAGAATTGGAAAGCGACATGCACAGAGGCCTATGCATGGAGTGAACCACATTTTGTGCTATGGTGCTAGATATGGTATGTGGAGGAAGCCCACCGCTTGCATACCTGAGCTTGGCAAGTTCGGCCTCTGTTTGTCTGTCTAGGTCTGCCGTCTGTGAGCCGCTGCTTCCATATTTCTACCAACATTCAAGAAAAAGTTAAATTGATTACAAAGCATAGAAATGGAGCGCGGAAAATCCTTACACATTGAAAGGTGATAGAGCGCTGCCGAAGAATTTCAAACTAACATCCCCGTGCATGTAGAATTAACATTTGCTTTCGGTCTTTCGGTTCAAGATCAAGCGCAACATCTTACCGTTTTCACAAAATCTTGAAACTGTTTTTCTTTGTCGTCCCGGTAGCCTTCAATGACCCGGCGCGCTTCCACCGTGGCCTCCTTGAGTCGCTGGCCCCGTGCTGTGTACGAGTGTCCGGGAGAGCAAAAAGGTGTAGATTCAGCTATATAGCTGAATAAATAAATTAGTGTAGCGATTTGGGCTAAATTGTATCGGAATCATAATTCAAATCATGACCTAAGAAGGCCGAAATGGAAAAGTAATGAACAGAGGGTCGGACACGAGGGAGCATTTTTCACGTATACAGCTCTAGAATTCTGTCATGCCATGTCGGTAAATGCTCTCAAATACATGCATCTCTGCCTCTACACCTCAGTATTAAGTTTGCGCATGATATGTTTTCACTGACTGGATGCAAGTCAACGATTGGCGGGCATGTCATGTCACTATCTGAATTATTACCTGCCCGCGCCTCTTGGACGATCTGAGCAGCCTTCTGCTCAGCAGCTCTCAGCTCTGCCATGCCACCGGACGCCATAGCAATAGAAAAATTGAATTAAGATCTCAAAACTGTTTGTTTGATGGGGCAATGCAAATATGCAGTCGTTATTATTTCTTCATAGAAGACAAAGGTTATGATTTATGCCATCCTGAGAGTTGTGGGAGCTCTCAGGCGCCCAAAAAAAAGTGAGGGATCCGGGAAGTTATCCGTTCAAACATTTTGTACAATTGCACTGATATGGTGTATGCAGCAGGCTGGCCCTTTCTGGTGTGCTGAAGCCGGGGGGCAGGCTCCGAGGCCGGAAGTGGAATCTCAAGCTGGGAGGGGAGGAGAGGCGGCGTCTCGAGGAGGGCGACGCCGTTCCGGCCTCCCAGGAGAGAGGATCGAGACTCTGGCCTCCATTTCACCACATTGATCCACAAACTCTTGACATTAAACAGGGTATCTTTATAGACCGCCATCTGAAAGTCCGAGCGGTCTTTTCCAGCTGCCCAACACCTCTTGCCGTCTATTTACAAGTAGCTATTGCCACATCGGAGACGCCCATGTCGACGGCATTCACGACGAGCAACCATAGTGCTTTCAATGACATGCCACCACCGCAGCCATCATCGTCCCGCACATCAAAGCAGCTTGATAAGTATAGCAGTGATGTTCCTGTAACTTCCGCCGG